CCCCCGGTAAAGGTCCAGGAAGTCCAGGAAGAAGCGGCCTTGAGCACACTCTGTTGAGGCAGAGTCCTCAATGGAGGCTGGGGGAGGAGTGTGGAAGCCTCAGAGACAACAGGAGGGGGAAGGGGACCCAGGTGACACTGTGTGAGGTGCAGAGTCCATGGAGCTGTCAGACCCTGGGACCAAGTCAGAAGTTAGGCTTGTGTTTCTTGAGCTCCACCATGAGGTGATGAATATTGATGAGCTCGGCCCTGGCAGGCAGTGCCCGGAGCTGTGGTTGTGCCAGCACCCGGTGGAAGCGATGGTAGAGCTGGATCAGCTGGGTCAGCGCCCCCTGCACAGAGAGGACAGTCGGGGGTCAGACTGATGGTGGCAGGAGGTCAGAGCTTCACCAGAATCTCAGACACAGCTGGTCGGTGACTTCCCAGAGAAAACAGCAAGGAAACCATCAAGCATTAGACATGGGCAAAGGGCAGGGAGTGGCAGGGCACCTGGATGATGCTGGTTCCATTTCGAAAGTTGGTGAAACTCCGCATGACATCCTGACTCAGAGACTCCACCGACGCCTTCCAGGAACCACCAAAGCCACGGATCAGCTGAGTGACTCGGGCTGACACAGGGAAAGGGAATGTCAGAGAGCACCAGGCCTGGGGACCGTCCACCCCGGCAAGGCCTGCCCAGGGCACAGCCATGATCACTGACAAGCCTGGCTTTCCTGGTCTTCCTGCATTCAAGTCCTCCCCGCTGTCCCACCCCCTGTGCCCGGCCCCTGCTCACTGTCCTTTTTAACTCCCCTCCCCAGGCTCATGACAACAGCCTCGTACCTTCTTCCCCTCGAAGGCGCTCAGCCTGTCCACGCTCAATCAAAGTCTCAGCCTCCTTCACAAAGGCCACCAGACCCCCGAAGGGAGGAGACAGCAACTCCTCAATGAATTCCTAGAGAGATGTGCAAGCCAGAAACAGAGTCAGGAGTCCGGGAACAAAGGACCCCACGTTGGACTGGGACAACTAGGAGGTGACACTCCATAGAGCAGCCAGCCTCTGTGGGCCTTCCAGGTGGTGATCTCACAAGGCGGAGAGGAAGTCCCCAAGGAAAATCAAGAGCCAATGAGCTGGCTCAGGGGGAGCAGTGCTGGGCACTGGACCCCAGAACACAAAGTAGAAGAAGCAAGAAAAGAACCCAGTCCTGGAGTTGTCCTCTGACATACATGTGTTTCGTAACATCGCTCTCTCTCTCTCTCTCTCTCTTTCTCTCTCTCTATCTCTCTCTCTCTCACACACACACACACACTAATAATCCCCTACAAAGCAGAACTGTTTGTTTTGGCACGTACACACACACATACATACACACACACACACAGAGATACAGTTTTATTTTGCTTTTATGCTACTAACATCACTAAAATTAAATGACAGACTAGCAACAAGGCAGTGAGCTGCAATAACAACTGCACTGAGGTCAGCCCAGCAGCACCCAGGTCTCCCTGCCACACCCAGGCCCCACCTGTGTCCGAGCATTGAGCAGCTGCTGGAAACTCTCCACCTCTTTGCTGTCGTCAGCAGCTCGCTCCTAAGGAGACACATGGAGTGGGGAACTTGGGGACACCCTTCACGCCAGCACCTCCTGCCACCCCACACTGCAGACACAGCCAGGATCCAGGGCACAGCGCTGAGCTTGTGGAGCTGACAAGCCGTGGGACCCCGTGGAAGAACGGCATTACCATCAGCACACCCAGCATCATGTCATAGTTGTTGATCAGAAACACAAGCTGCTCCTTCCTGGAGGAGAACTCTGCGGCCACTCGGAGGACAAAATTCTCCACCTCCACCTGCAAAAGCCGAACAGAAGCAGCAAGTGAGAAAGCCAGAGCACAGGGCCCTCCCCGTGCTGGGAAGCCTGTGTGCCAGCCCCACCTGTAGCTGTCCCAGCAGCTGCAGGGTGCGTTCATTAGGGATGGTCTGGTTGATGCTGACCAGCGCAGAGGAGAACTCAGCATAGCGGCGTGTGATCTAGGACCAAGGAGTGAAGACTCCCATCAGCCTGCCTGGCAGACACAACCTCCCAGCTGCCCCTGCAGCTCCTGTCCCCAGTCCCTCCTCCTGCATTGGCCAAACCACTGAATGTGACCACAGGACTCCCTTGTTACCCTCACCCGCCCTCACATAGTGCGGCCGAGTGTCTAGCCCCCCGAGGCGCTGGGGGTCGGTGCTGCGGACGCTCTGGACATTCATTTCCAGGATCAGCTCAAACCGAGGCCACAGCAAGGCAAGCACCTGCTCCCAGTACCTGCAGGCTTAATCAGAATCAAAGGTCAGCTGACTAGGGATGCTGGCAGGCCATGGGAGCACAGCATCCTTCAGGGGAACAGTGAGTGTGGTGCGGGGGCACATGTGTGCATGACACCAATGCTTCCTCTAAACACATATGGGAATAAGGGTGTAGCATATCAGGTGAGGAACAACCAGTGTCAGGATGGAGTTGTCTGTGTAAGATAAAGCCCTGAAGCCTATAGGAACCAGGACCCGAGTGCAGCGACCTGTCCAGAGCAGGAACGTCCCTCTTGGCTGCAATGTTGCGGAATCGGAGAACAATGTGGATGCAGAGAAAAACAGCAATGGCGTCGTAGCAGTCGGCCAGGTAGGACTCCAGGTGTTTCTGTGGTACAGCAACAGGAAGACAATCGGAAGTTAGCTTGTTGTTCAGGTGGCTATGAGCAAATGGTCGTACATTTCTAGTGGACAAAGCTGATTAGGGAGACCCGCCTTTCCTGTCAACAGGCACCTCCGGGGCCCCTGACTTGCTCACTGGCCTCTATTATAAAAGTTCCTCACAGCAGAAGCCAGAGCTGAGGATTTAAAGTTGTCCCTCTCTACTGAGGAAAAACACAAAGGAAGTAGCAGATTCCCCGAATTCTGAGGGCTTCATAGGGGGCCATGTTGTGAGATAAAAGCTTAGACTTTTTAGAACGGGACACTCCTGCTTTCAATACTGTCACTTGTGACCCCACTGGATGTGGAGGAGCCCTGAGAACTGAGGGTAAAGCACAGAATCCGGGGGCTCACCAGGGTCATGGCGAGTGTGCGGCCCATGACAGCGTGGAATAGGTCATGTGCAGCTGGGCCAGATACAACAAAAAATTCACAGATGAAAAGATATTCACGGCAAGAATTGTCGAGAAGAGCGTAGTGCTGGCTGCGGAAGAGAGCTTCAAACGGATACTAAGGGACAGAGAGAAGGGTGAGATTCAACACTGACCCCATGGATATGGGGACTCAGCATATCTCAGGAATCAGAGCTCACACACACCTGACCTCCATGCAGGGAGGAGTGCCCTGAACAGGCACTGATGAGGGAAGGAAAGCCCTCCCACAGCTGCTGCTGCCCCCACATCCATTCACTGACACCCCTGTGGCCAGTCTCCCTCTGCATGCATCTAGGTCCATGGCTCCTAGCCCTCAATTACAGCAGACTGGGGACCTAAAGTCCACTCTGATTCCTTAGGGGACTGATCCCGGTCATGGAAGGGAAGCCTCATCATACCCTCTGCTCTCCACGCTGGGCAGTATGGGGCACCAGGATGGGGGCCTCAAGTTCAGTGGGGGAGATGACAGAACCTCGGGTGCCCAGAGTGAAGATGGTGTTCCTGCTTCGGAGGGACGGCTTCGAGAAGAATCGTGAATAGCATCAGAGTCAGGGAAATCACTGAGACTGACAACACTAGGCCATGGAGACATGACCTGAGGATCCTGGGAAGTTAAATATGACCTGCACACCCCCTTCCAGAACCAGGACCTCGCTTCACCTGACATCTTAATGGGCATCAGGGAGTCTACAAACCCTCTGAATCAACGTGAAGAACTTCAGAATGATGTGTGCCTCTGGGAGGGGAAGCTCTCGCTCTCACATCCTCAAAGGCTCTGCCCCACGGAGATGGTAAAAAGCAGAACTCTGGGGTCTAGAGCCAGGTATCCCCACAGTGAGCCTGGCACGGCGTGGGCGTGACAGGAGGCCCCCAATCCAGGATATCTTTCTTTGCTGTGTCTTCCACACCCATTAGATCGTCTTTCTCAGCAACCTCCTCGTACTAGAGAAAACAACATAGAGCTCAACCGAGGCCCCCAGCACCAGCAGGAGGGCGCTCCGCCCTCCTCCAAGCTACCTCTCCCTGCCCAGCTCACCTGCACTTTCATGAGCCGCCCCAGGTAGGAGCGGAAGTAAGACAGGTAGATCTTGCTCAGCGTCTCCACATACTCATCCCTGATCTCCTTGGCTGTTGCTCGCTCATTGCCCAACAGGAACTGATAGAAGAACCTGGAAGGGCCAGGGCGCGTCAGACCCTGGACATTCATGGTGGGCTGCTGGAAAGCTCACGGTCCACCCTGTGCCTGTCCCGGGGTGGCCACCTGTACTTCAGCAGGGCTGTCTGGGGGATTTGATAGTTGGTCATCGGCTTTCGGAATGAATAAATCTTCTGGAGGATGAACTCGCGGATCTTCGTCACTGCCTAGATGTGGGGGACAAAGAGGCCATGAAGCTGTGGGCTTTTACTGTGAGGAAGGAAGCAAGGAGGTGACAGACGAGAGGGTAAACGGAAGGCAGAGAGTACTCGGGTTGTGTTTCCATTTATGTTTTGTTTGCTGAGTCAAGGTCTACGTAGCCCTGGCTGGCCAGGAACTCACTATGTAGCCCAGGCTGGCCAGGAACTCACAGAGGTCCACCTGCCTCTGCCTCTCAAGTGCTAGAGCTAAAATCATTTACTGCCGTGCCCGGCCTTATTTTTTCAGGCTGTTTGTTTCTTTTTCTATTTTATTTTATTTTTTTTTAAATATTTATTTATTATGTATACCATATTCTGTTTACATGTATGCCTGCAGGCCAGAAGAGGGCACCAGACCTCATTACAGATGGTTGTGAGCCACCATGTGGTTGCTGGGAATTGAACTCAGGACCTTTGGAAGAGCAGGCAATGCTCTTAACCGCTGAGCCATCTCTCCAGCCCTCTTTTTCTATTTTAAATATGGAATGCTTTACAAATTTTCATGTGTTCTCTTACATGGAGACTGTGCTAATCTCTCTATTGTTCTAATTTTAGTTTCTATGCTGTTCGTTTTTGAGACAGGGTGTTGTGTATCTCAGGCTGGCCCCAAACTCCCTGTGCAGCAGAGAAGGACCCTGACACTTCTGATCTTCCTTCTGCCAGCTCCTGAGTGCAGGGACAGCAGACAAGTGCCACCAGGTCAGTCTGCAGAGCTGGGGTGGAACCCAGGCTTCATGCACACCAAGCAAGCGCGCTACCAACTGAGCCACATCTCCAGCTTCTTTAGGTTTTTGGAGAAACCAGAGGGCCAGCGAGCACCACCCTAAGGGAAGCTGCATGGGTTCTTGGGAGGTGACTCCGTGTCCACTCCCTACCTTGACGCGCAGCCGGTCTAGCACGCCCCTGACGTCTGCGCAGGCAGCCGTGCCCCTCGCCTCCTGCTCTCTGACCGCAGCTGCCTTGGCGTCCAGCTCCTGCAGCTGCTCCAGGAACCTGGGCTCTGTCACTGGAGCGTCCAGAATTGCTCTGAGGAGCAGGGAGGATGGGGATCAAGAGAAGGGACACTCAACAGTACTAAAACAGACCAACCCACATCCTCACAGCTCGCGTCATTTCTGCCTTCCTCCACAGTCTCATACCTTCATTGTATGTACAAAGGTCTCAACTCCTGAGCCCGCCTCCCCACAGCTCCTCACTATACACCTGACCTTGGATCACGCCTAACCCACATGCTATCCTATGGTGGCTAAAGCAGGGTTTGGAGTTATTAATCCAGCCATTAATTTCTACAACTTTTTTTTTTTTTTAACAAGATCCCACTCTGTAGCCAGGCTGGTGACTTGTAGCATTCTACTGCCTGGACCCACTCTGTAGCCCAGAGTGATCACTTGCAGCAAACCACCTGCCTGGACCTCCCAAGCATGTGATTACAGGCATGAGCCAGCATTCCTGGTCTCTAGATGGTACCTGACAACCTCAGCCTAGACCCGCATTATAAAGTGGATAGGTAATCCAGCCCGATCACCTGCTCTGGACAGCATGACCCTACAAACCAGTGACTCACGTGACCAGAGCAGAGGGCACCACTAGCCCATCTACAAGTTCCCCAAGTTTCCCCCGCACTGCTTGTCGGTTACGAAGTCGGATGTTCATGGCTCCTGACTGCTCCTGCAGGGTCCGGATCTCGGAGCTGATGGAGCTGAGGTCGCTCTGGAAAGCTCCCAGCATCTGCTCCATGCGCTACGGGGAGGGCAGAAAACACTGTGGGCATGTCACAGGGTTGACGGGGACAAGCATCCCACCCAAGTGTCTGAGTGAACACCCCAGGATCCAACAGCCCAGGAGGGCAGCAGATCTTCATTTGCCCAGGGAACAAAAAGTATTGCCAAAAAAAAAAAAAAGAAAAAAAGAAAACAAAAAACAAAAAAACAGGAGCAGAGGGCATGACGGGTTCAAGGTTGTCAGGGGTCACAGGCGAGGGCCACCAACCTCCAGGACAGCATCGCAGGCTGTGATCTGATTGTGCAGAGACGCGATGTTTTCACTCTCTTGGATATCTGACCCCCAAAAGTCAAGGGCTTCACACTGAACACAGAGCTCTGAGGACCAGCAGTACCTCCCCACAAAGTCTCCCCAAAGTGACAGAAACCTTAGAGAGAGATGCCATCCCTGTCGGGGCTACCCGCATCACACCTCCCCAGACCCCATGTAGATAAGCCCATCTTTTCCCTCCGCTAGGGGATACAGTCCCGAATGGACTTTTGCTCAATCTGCTGAAGCTCCAGCTCCACCTGCTTCGAATAGTGTCGCAGATCCACACCCTGGAGGAAACAACAAGGAGAGGTCGGGATGAAGCCACCGTGAAAGGACACCAGAACAGACTCAGTACCAAGGTGAGACAAGGCTGAGGAGGGAGGGTGGGGCAGACTGGCATAGTGGAGAGCCTCACCGTCTTGAGAGCTTCCTTCACTAACTCATCCTCCAGATTTGCCTGGATGTGAACTGGAAACAGACATTTTCCATCAGGGTTCAGCGCCATGCCTCCCTCTGCCCACCCTGGGCACCCGCACACCAGTCTCCCCTTTCCTTCCGGCCCGGTCTCTCCAGTGATAAGTTCAGCAGCTTTGACTCTGCTGCTTCAGCTCCTAACAGTCTAGCCAACCACGGACCAAAAATGGCAATTCCAAAGCATGATTTAGAAGCTTTAAAGTGTGCGGCATTCTGAGAAGTTGAAGGCCCCCTCACCCGCCTTGGACTTGCATCGTCTTTGCTGAATGCATCTATGGTGTGTGTGGTACCAGCCTGTCAATCATTCACTAGCTGTCTTCGTGTTCAGATTAGCTGTCTGCACATGTCTATGTTCAAACAAACCTTGTTTTCACTAATAAGAGTCCCGAAGAGCAAAATGGGGACACAGCAATTTCATCATAGTGTATTGCTGTAAATGTTCTACTATTACTGTTCATTTCTTACTGAGCCTAAACTAGATTAAACTTTATACTGCATTTAAAAAAAAAAACATGCAGGGGTTAGTATGGGGGGGGTCATCTACTGCCAGTCGCATAACATATTCCTAAAGGATAAAGGGGGATGGCTATGCTGCCCCCACCCACGTCACCACTCACCATCCACTTCATCCAGGATGAATTCATCAGAGGTGATATCCAGCTCCCCAAGTTGCAGGGGCTCTTGGAGTCCAGAAGCACCCCCCTGAAGAGGGGCAGATTAGTGAATGTGGGATACAGAAAGGCGGGAAACAAAATACAATGGGATATTCCTAATCCTGAAAGTGAGGTGGGGGCGCTTTCTCAGGGGAGCCACAGTTAGTGGGTCAAAGATTCTCACGCGCTCAAATCTACTTTTCTGGGCTAACAGTAGAAATTATGTCAAAAAAAAAAAATCAGGCAATTCGCTGGAGGTGTTCAAATGAGAAAAACTAGGCTTAGCCGGACTTGCCTTTGAATTTAGGACCGCTGTCTTGTTACCTCGGGTGTTCTACCATCGCACCCTAGGGAGTTCCAGATGCTAAAATTGTGAGCTTTACATGCTGTTTATCTGTGTGTCGGGTGCACCCTTACACATACTCATTTGGCTAAATCCTCACGACTACCTATAAGGTAGGTCCGAATAACGCCTCCCCTTTACAAGTGTGGGAAGCGAGGCCTAGGAAAACACAGCTTATAAGTGGTGGGGCTGGAAGTGGGAACAAGGCAATCAAGCTCCAGAGCTCACATTATTAATCTTTTACACTACTTTCTCTTTTCTACTAAGAAATTTTTTTTCTAACGTGAATAGGAAGCTGACACTGTGTCCGTGGAACTTGAGTTTCTGCCACTCTGGTCCCTAAGAAGGCTCGGTCACCATCACCGGGAGCAGGAGGAGACCGTTGTCTGAGCTCAGCCTCCACCTTCCTGAGGACACACTGCCCCGTGCTCTCACCAGCGGGCCCTCCTCCTCCTCCATATCTGAGGCCCCGGCCCGCAACACCAGCTCGCGGGCAGCAGCCGCCATGGTCGCAGCCGCTGCCATTCCCCCGCAGCTTCACTTCCGTCAGCTGTCAGGCTCGGAGTCCGTTTCCAGAAGCAAAACCACAAGTCCCAGAACGTCTTGTCTGGCGAAAAAAAAAAGTTCCGTGATATCTGAGCTAAAGTGATTAACACCAGTTTCCCCTGTGAGACTCAGATCACTTCGGTCAAGTGTGAGAGCGAAGGAAGGCGATCGCCTCAAACAAATACAACCCTGCTCCGGAACCTTCGCTGCGCTTACGCCCGGAACAGGATCCTTACGACGGTAAAGACAATCGGACCGGAAGTTATGATCCCCATTCTAAACTCTCAGAATTCGACTCCTCGCCAAGGGAGGGGCGGGAAGAGAAGCCGTTTCCGGAAGCGCGCCTCCGAGGTAGCCCCGCCTCTTCCTCCGGGACGGTATATAAGAACGATGCGTCACTTCCGCTCCCTCTTCCACGGGAGGCCTACACGCCGCCGGTTGTGCCGCCGCCATGGTAAGAGCGACTCCGCGCCGGCATCGGGCGACATCTGAGCCGGGGCAGGGAGCGTTTTCCCGTCGGGGGTCTGAGGAGGCCCTGGGCTGCCTGCCTACATCTTCCCCCGAAACGATGGCGCGCGACCGCGGGAGGGGGCGACCGAGGACGTGGAGTTCCGGGGAGGAAGAGGCATGCCCTGCACGCACGAAAGTTGCAGGAGCCTGGCCGGGTGGGTCCTCCGCCTCCCTACCCGGGACGCATTTGACCGCGGCCAACGTCCCCCCTCGTGTCCGGGGTTGCATCTTCCCGCGCCTGAGCGCTTGCGGTGAGCGCTGAGCTGTGGAAGAGCTGTCATAGGAGGGCTCGGTGCTCGCCGGTTGTCCCCCCGCCGCAGCCGCCTTTTCTACTTGGTAACTACCTGTGTCTGATTGTCCCCCGTGCCCTTGCAGTCTCTCGTGATTCCTGAGAAGTTCCAGCACATCCTGCGAGTACTCAACACCAACATCGATGGGCGGCGGAAAATAGCCTTTGCCATCACTGCCATTAAGGTAACAGCAGTGTTAGCGGGCAGGGAATGCAGAAGAGAGGAGACCCGGGTTCTGCAGCTAACCTCACCTAACGAATAGTAAAGCTGGAGGGTGATCTGAGGTCAGGCCATAACATTTAACCGGGGACGTGGGGCGTGAGTGTGACTTCCCTTGACCGGACTGGAGTGTTCTCTGTGGCACACTGTAGCGGTGACGCTTGGGTCGTATTTCTGTTAATTAACATCCGTGGATCTGGGGTGTCGTGGAGGGCAGCCTACAACACAATGCCAGGAGTGGAAGGTAGCCTTTGCTCTAGTTGGAATAGCCAACGCAAAGAGTGAGTGGAAACTTGAATAATTCTCTGCGCAGAGCTGAGAACCTTCTAGGTAGGACCATTATTCGTTTTTACCAGAGCTAGTAATTTTGGAACTCAAAAACATCTTGCCAATCATTCTGTACCCTTTGAGGGCAAGGGCTAGCTTGTCTATGCCATCCCAAGTTTCCTGTGTGTGGTGGCTTCTTGTGAGCTGTTAGAGGGTGGATGGTCCTGAGGGATGTAAGGAAGTCTGGATGTATCCTGTACTTATGGAAACAGTGAGGTAGCTGATGGGCAGAGTGAACGCAGTGTCTGGGGGTGATGCTTGTGCTGTGTGGGACCTGCCGTTTCAAACTTGACCATCTTGCTGATCATAGAAGAGATAATTACACAGTGTCTGGAGATCCTGTGTAGTGAGGGTTCCTAAGAAGTAAAGCTTGTTGGAGATTTAGGGGAGGAGGATTAGGAATATGAGGAAAGAGATAATGGGGGGTGGCCTTCCAGGGGTGTGGTTAAGGTGTAGTTAAATTAACCGAGAAAGGGTGAGAGATGGGATTCTGTGCTGTGACTTGTTTTCCAAATTCTTTTTTTCTTTCCTGTGACAGGGTTTAGCTTGTTCTGTAGATTAGGCTGGCCTTGAACTCACAGAAATCCACCTGCCCTCTACTTCCCAAGGGCTGGGGTTAGGGCCTGAACCACCACCGCCCAGCGGTTTTAGGAATTGGTTTTGTTTTGTTTTTTTTTGAGACGGGGCTTCTCTGTGTGACAGCCCTGGCTGTCCTGGAACTGGCTCTTGTAGACGAAGCTGGCCTCGAACTCAAGAGAGATCCATGGACCTGCCTCTGCCTTCTGAGTGCTGGTATAAGGCATGTGCCACCACTGCCCAGTTGGTTTTATGAATTCTTGAAGGCTTGTGTTTTGCTTCTTTGTTAAGGTGGTAAATTAATGTTTGACCATCTGGAAGCATGTAGAAAGGGGTTGGGCAGACCTGGGAAGTACTGCCTGCCCTCTTAAGTGTTTACAAAACTCAGAAAGACTGGGCATAGTGCCATTATTGTGAAATAAGGTCTCACCCTAGCTTAAGCCTGGCCTCTGCCACCAAGGTGGCATCACACAGCACCTTCAGTACTTGCAGCCTTGAGTGCAGAACAGGGTCTCACAAGAACAGTCAGTCGGAACTGAGACTGGGGAGAGTGTGCGCTTGTTCTGCCTGCATGGCCTGCTGGGCCTGGAAAAGCAGCCAGAAATCTTACGCTGAGCTGCTCTCCAGCCACTAAAACAACACTTTTCCCGTTAAATTCTAGGGGGCAGAGTCAAACCCGCTTTGGGGCTCAGTTTTGGCATGGCCTCACTGTCGGCACAATTGTAACCTTTATGGGTCTTGACTCTGCCATTCTGGACCTCCTGTGGAGTGTCATCTGGGTGCTTTTTGCGTTCCCTGGGCTGCACACCTCATCCCAATTCTTGGTCAGCACAAAAGATCCTAACTTTGTTCCCTTGTTGAGAAAAAGGGCCTCATTCTTCACCGGGCAAAATCTAAATGCCTGAAACCGGAGGCTGGGCGTCATGGCATCAAATTTGAGTTACTGGTCCAGTGTGGCCTGAATGACAATCTGGAAGAGTGATCTGGGAAATGACAGAATGGATTCCTTGTGGGTTCTATCATTATGGGATTGGTGAATTAAGACAGGTAGCTCAGGCTGACCCACAGTAACAGTCCTGCCTTCCTGGTCCAGGACTCAGGAGAGTTCTGAGATTAGAGGTGAATACTACCACAGCCAGTCTGTGCTTTCTGAGTAAATAGGTTAATAAGAAAAAGGGTAAGCCAAACCTCATTCCCAAACTTTTGCCCAGGGTGTGGGGCGGAGATACGCTCATGTGGTGTTGAGGAAAGCGGACATTGACCTCACCAAGAGGGCTGGAGAGCTTACGGAGGATGAGGTGGAGCGTGTGATCACCATCATGCAGAATCCCCGGCAGTACAAAATACCAGACTGGTTCTTGAACAGACAGAAGGATGTGAAGGACGGGAAGTACAGCCAGGTGTGTAGGGGTGCCGCTTCAGGGGTGTTCAGAACTGGTATGGGGAGTCTGAGGTAAAGCTGGCCTCCCTGTCTCCAAATCCAGGTTCTGGCCAACGGCCTGGACAACAAGCTGCGCGAGGACCTGGAGCGACTGAAGAAGATTCGGGCACACAGGGGGCTGCGCCACTTCTGGGGGTGAGTGGGGGGCATCACATGTTGCTCTGAGTGGGCTGCTCCCGCTGTCTGACCTTGCCGGTGTGTGACCTGTGGTTTGTTTTCCTCCCGCAGCCTTCGTGTCCGAGGCCAGCACACCAAGACCACAGGCCGCCGGGGCCGCACTGTGGGTGTATCCAAGAAGAAATGAGTCCCTGGCCTTTGCTGTTAATAAATAGTTTATATGCCTGTGACCTCGGTCTCTGCGTCTTCCATGTGGCTGGGTGGCGGTGGTGGAGGATTCTGCAATGGCTCAGAGTCTTTGTTACTAACTGGCTGGGTCCCTGCTGTAACAGCTCAAGTGTGGCTGAATTAAAATATCTATCTCCCTTACACAGGCTACTGTGTTTGAGCTGAGGCCTATAACCCGGCTCTGATTCCTAACTAGACAACAGTGCAGTCCTATACCTTGCTTTCTGTTTGGTATAGGGTTGCAGGAACAATGGTTTGGAAACTGCCAGTCCCCACCCTCTGGTACAATCATGTCTGGGCAGGAACAAAGGTGTTTTGCTACCTGTGTTGATAACCTCAAGGGGGAGCTTGAGCAAGGTTTAATTGGATCTCTGAGTTCAGAGCTGTTGAGAAGTAGGCAGAGGTGTTGCCGCCGGTTTGGGCCACGCCCGGGAAGAGCTTGAGCACGCTTTAGATCTCTTAGTACAAAGTACGTGGAGTTAGAGTGCCGAAGACGGCCGAACTGTTGAGTGGGTACATCGTGGCCGGATACTGCACCGGTGAGTTAATAGACCTTGGCAACACCAGAGGTGCTAAATACGGGAACTAGGTGGCCTGGTTCCCTACACGCTTTTTGACCGCAAGAACGAATACGGGAAGGGCTGGGCCAAGCGCGTTGCACGCTGCTTGCCGACTTCCGGCCTTGAGTGGCATGATGGGAAGCCAGTGGGGGAGGGGCGCAATGGAGGAGCCGAGCTTGGCGTGTGGGCTAGGAGAAGATTGTGGTTCCCAGGGCCGCTGCGGTGGGCTTGGGGCTGCACCTCGCAATGCGCCAGGCCCGCCGCACACAGGCCTTCGTGTTTCTGCTGCAGCGGCCGGTTAGGGCCGCTTTCCCGCCTCCTGGCGCTCTAACAGTTCTGCCCACAGGTCTCCGCGGCTCACCATGCCCGTCAGCCTCTTCCGGCGCCTCCTCCTGGCGATCCTGCTGCTGGTGATTCTCTGGACCCTCTTTGGACCCTCCGGCTTCGGGGAGGAGCTGCTGAGCCTGTCCCTGGCGTCCTTGCTTCCAGCCCCAGCCTCACCCGGGCCGCCCCTCGCCCTGCCCCGCCTCTTGATTTCCAACCCCCAGGCCTGCGGTGGCCCCGGACCCCCTCCCTTCCTGCTCATCCTGGTGTGTACGGCCCCGGAGCACCTGAACCAGAGGAATGCCATTCGAAGGTCTTGGGGCGCCATCCGCAAGGCCCGGGGGTTCAGGGTGCAGACGCTCTTCCTCCTGGGAGAACCTACAGGACAGCACCTCGCAGCCGACCTGGCCTCGGAGTCGGCGGCGCAGAAGGACATCTTGCAGGCCTCCTTCCAGGATTCCTATCGCAACCTCACTCTCAAGACCCTCAGTGGGCTGAACTGGATGAATAAATACTGTCCTATGGCCCGCTACATCCTCAAGACAGACGACGACGTTTATGTCAACGTCCATGAGCTAGTGTCAGAGCTGATCCAGAGAGGGGGTCCTTCAGAGCAGTGGCAGAAGGGCAAGGAGCCACAGGCAGAGACCACAGTTGCCCATGAGGAGCACAAAGGCCAGGCGGTACCACTTCTGTATTTAGGCCGAGTGCACTGGAGGGTACGCCCCACTCGGACCCCAAGGAACCGGCACCACGTGTCAGAAGAACTGTGGCCTGAAACCTGGGGTCCTTTCCCACCTTATGCCTCGGGCACAGGGTACGTACTGTCTGCCTCTGCTGTGCAGCTCATTCTGAAGGTGGCCAGCCGGGCACCCCTTCTACCTCTAGAGGATGTCTTTGTGGGAGTTAGTGCAAGGCGAGGGGGCCTTGCCCCCACACACTGTGTCAAGTTGGCTGGCGCCACTCACTACCCACTGGACAGGTGTTGTTATGGGAAATTTCTGCTAACATCCCACCAGGTCGATCCCTGGAAAATGCAGGAAGCGTGGAAGCTGGTGAACGGACGGGATGGGAAAAGGACTGAGCCCTTTTGCTCCTGGCTCCAGGAATTCCTGGGTGTCTTGAGGTGCCGGTTCATAGCCTGGCTCAACAGCTGAGAAAGGCAGCTCCTCAGAGACCTGTGCCCCGGGATCAGTGCCCAGGCTGCAGCTCCCTCCCTGCGGTGACCCATCTCCTCACAGCAGACTCTGAAGCCACTATCAGGCCTGTCCTGAGAGCACCAGAGACAGCAGAGGGGGTAAAACGCAGGAGGGGTGCCAGGGAGCTGCTGTCACCAGCTGGGACAGGAGCCCAATAAACGTGTCTCCACCCCAAGTGCAGGTTTTCACCTGTCTTCACCTGCTGTGCTGCATGGAAGTCCATCTAGGAGGGCCACTCCGGGCTAAGGCAAGGGCTGAGGCAGCGGTAGGTGTGGGGTAGGAGAGGCAGGGCAATGAGCTGAGTGTGGGGTAGGAGAGGCAGGGCAATGAGCTGAGTCTAGAACAGCCCCACATGGGGAAGACATCTACAGGGTGATCCAGACACTTCTTCAAAACCTTGTTTATCACCCACCCAAGCTAGCTAAGTAAGACAAGGCACACGGGATGAACTCCCTATAGATCTTTTATTATTATTTACATTGTGTGTGTGTACACATACACTGCACGCCGCCCTGGATGTGCACTGGTCCACATGTCCACAGAAAGGTAACAACTTGTGTGAGTTGCTCTCTTCTGCCATGTGTCTTCAGCTTTGGCGGCAAGTGCCTTTGCGCATTGAGCTGTCTCGCCCCTATGGTTATCTTGGGGAATGCTGTCTCTGGCTCAACGTACAAATCTATCCAGTGCAGATGGGCGGGCTCCAGTGGGCTTGGCTGTCTTCTGCTTCTGTCGCTGCTGCTGCTGCCCCTCGAGGCTCTGCCGGACTTTGTCCTGGAGAAAAGGAAGTGGGGAGCACCAGGCAAAGTGAGCAGGGACTGGCTGATGAGGGGCAGGCTGACACCTGACCATACCCACGCTTATGTACCCTGTGTTCCTGGTCCATGACCTTCTTTTTCCTCTTCACCAGGCTCGCTGTGGAGCTTCGGCCCTTCTGCTTTGCCTTGGGTTGGAAGGCAGCCTTGGCATCAGGGTCATAGCCCTGACAAGGGACAGGGATGAAATCAAGGACAGCCCAGGAGCTGGCAGCCCCCACCTCCTGAGCTGCACTTTAAAATGGGGTAGGGCACAGAGACGAGGAGGGCTGAACAACTGGACAGCTTCATACCAGTCTCTCTATCCGCTCCTTCTTCTGCTGCTCCAGAGTAACCACATCCACCTCTGCCAGGGCTCGAGGGTCCAGACAGATGAGCTCTGCAGGTACCTGGAGGAGTCACACTGCAGGCATGGGTAGGAGCCCCAGGGAGGTAACACCAGAGAGGATATAGGATGGGGGGGCAAGGCGCCAGCAGAGCTCACCTTTTCCAGTAGCGCCTTCACCTCCCATTCCTGGCGCTGCTTCCGGCTTCTGTATGGGTTATTCTCCAAACCATCAAAGTTGGGCTCAGCAGACCCTGAGGGAGGAGCATGCACCAGTCCTGCCACTCTGGACAGACTGGGCCCACCGGCCCTCCCCAGCTGTTCCGCTCTCTGGCCCACTTACCAGGGACCAGCATGCTGGTCATGCCTCCACTGTGTCCCACCCCCAACACGTCCTCAAAGGGGCAGAACTGGAGGCCATGCACGTGGCCTGAGAGTCGGTGGGTAAGGTAGGGCTGTTCCAGGGAGGGGGGGCTAGCCTTGCCCGGCCCTGCCCATATGTTGACCACATCACCCATTCCTGCAACTAACAGTCCCCGCTGGGAGAAGGCCAGATGTCCTGCTCCCTGGGGCAGGGTCCGGGCACTCAGGGGCTGGAATGTCCCTCGTAAGTCAAAGATTTTCAGCTGGTGGTCCAGGCCGGAAGTGGCCATGTACCTGTGAGAAACAAACCAATTAATCTCCAGTGGGTGTTGACAGAACCTGTGGTGAAATCCCAAGTATCTACTCTGGTTGTGAAAGAAAAGACTAGTAAGTTCTCTCCACACTAAATACTGCCGCATCTCACACAACTCACCCCACTGTTTCCATTCATTACTTATTATTTGTTCGTTTCGAGATGGTCTCACTATGGAGCCCTGAACTCGGAGAGATCAACCTGTCTGTACCTCCCAAAGGCTGAGATTAAGGATTTAGACCTGTTTTCCAAGGTCAGAGAGGAAATCTGGGTTAGGGAGTGGCTTGAGACAGACAACAAGTCCTTTGTGATTTTGTGGGGTGTTGAACTCAGGGCCCGCTGGACAGTTGCTCTACCCTTTACTCCTGGCCCAGGCCTATTTAGTGTCTGCTCACGCACCTACTGGCCCCACACTGCCCCAGGCAAGTCACAGATCTGTAGAACATGTCAGTCTACACCTAAACATGCATTCTACTTCAGAAGGACAGCAGGGTGGCTCAACAAAGGGACTTAAGATGAGGGAGACCTCCCCTAGCAAGAGACCCGACCACTACAGCAGACATGAAAGTAGAAGCTCTCCAAGGGCTGGTGAGAGCTACAGTGAGAGGAGGACTGGGTCTCCAGGAGCTTCGCGCTCGTCAGCCTAATCGCTGGCGGTGCCAGGACAGTCCACGGACAGTGTAGCGCTGCCCCACAGATAAGCTGTTTTCTTTCAGAGGCCGAGAGGGGAGGTAAAGGTGATGAGCCTCGCCCAGGAGTCTCTTGGCCTTGGCCATGAATCCAGGAAGGAACTGAAGAATTCTACGGCAGGCAGTCCAGTAGCACCCTGGCAGGACAAAAAGGCCCCTGGGCTAGGCATGATGTGCATGGCTTTAATCTCAGCACTAAGGCCAGCCTTGTCCACATAACGAGTTCCAAGTGAGCCAGGGCTATGTAGTGAGACCATGTCCTGCTGAAAAAGCCACTGGTACAAACCAGAAATGACAGAAAGATCCAGACAGTGTCACATCCTCGGAAGGACCGGAGGCTGGGTAAGTCCCAGTCTGGCAACCCTGCTGTTGTGCTCGCAAGAAGTATGTCAGCCTCCAGAAGCCAATTCAGGGCGGTCCTGACGCAGGCTTCCAGAAAGCCTTGAGGAAAGGGCTGCTTCAGCTGTAGCCTGAGGAGAACCAGAGCTCAGCAGAGGCAGGCTAAGGAGTGTCTGACTACAGTGCTGACCGGACAATGAAGCCCTGGGCAGGAGTTACCACCCCGGCAGGATAAGTTACAGCTCAGGTCTAGTAGGCATTAAAGGCACAAAGCTTCAGCCAGGCTTCCTTACTCTCCAGAGCCAAGCTGGCACAGATAGAGATCGGGCAGAACCAAATCACTTGTTCACAAAGACAATGGCAGCAGCCAGAGCGATCCCAGCATCTTGAAAACTTTTGCACATTGGTAATTGGTAACTTCAGGCTTTCCCTGTCCTACCTTGTTGGGGAAAAAAAAAAAAAAAAAAAAAAAAGAAAGGAAGAAAGAAAAGGCCAGGCAGTGGTGGTGGCACACAGCTTTAGTCCCAGCACCGAGTTCAAGGCTAGTCTGAAACCCTGTTCATAAACTCCCTGACACACACACACACACAAAGCTGCAGTAACAGAAATTTCATGTACAAAACTCCTGATCATTGGGGTAAGAGGGAGTGTAAATTTCTCTTAAGACCGCTCAGAAAAATGCCATGGAAACACAGCATCATGCCTGCAGGAGAGGGCAAAGAGCATGAGCCCCCAGAGGGACAGAACAGCAGGTAGGACTTGAGTACAAGAAAGATCAAAAGTGATGATCTAAGCCAGGTGGTAGTAGTGCACACCTTTAATCCCGGCACTTGGGAGGCAGGCAGATCTCTGTGAGTTCAAGGACAGCCAGGACTGTTAAAAAGAGAAACCCTGTCTCGAAAAACCAACAACCAAAAAAGGAGCTGGAGAGATGGCTCAGTGGTTAAGAGCACTGATTATTTTTCCAGAGGACCCAGCACCCACATGGCAGCTGACAACTGTCAGTAACTCCAAGATCTGACACCCTGACACAGACATACATGCAAGCAAAACAACAAAGTATATAAAATACAAATAATTTAAAAAAAAAAGTGATGATCCAAGTGCCAGACCTCGGCCTAGGACACGTGGAGAATGGGGTTTTTGATTGGTTTCAGTATGTAGCCCAGACTAGTTCCAAATTTTCAATCCTCCTGCCTCAGTCTCCTGGCTGCTGGGATTAAAGTGTGCACGACCAGGCCCTGCTCAGGCAACCAATGCTTTTGATTCCTGAAGAACTTGGGAACTGTGGCTCAAAAGGCACTGTGGGACACACCGGTAATCCCACTCAGAAGGCTGAGGCAGGAGGCTTGCTTCATGTTCTAGGCCACCGTAAATTATGGAGCGAGAGCTCCCCACCCTCAGGCACACACTGTGTGGGAATGTCAGCTTGCTGAGCTGTCCTTTATCAGCCATTAGAACGAGGTCAGGTGCAGTCGGGCCGTGCTAGCAACTACAACACTGTGGCATCCTCATCAAAGACGTCAGTTCAGATCAAGCTTGGCAGTAGGCTTGGGTGGGGTCTGCTGTCTCTGAGGGAGTACCAACATTCCACAACTGTTCTGACTTGTATTTTCTTCTTAATCCTCTCATCCTTCAGACACTCACAGGGCACCTCTGGTGGGCAAGGCTCTGGGCTGCCTGGGGACATTAGCATGGGTCCCTAAATCTACTCTCCTGTGGCTAGAGAGGAGTTCAATTCAGGTTGGAGAAACTTTTGCAAAACATCAAGTAATAGAGCCACCAAAGGTCTTCAGTGACACAACACTAGCAGGCTGGGAAGTGTTCCCATAAACTAGGCCATATGTCTGCACAGGACGGCAAGGACACACACACCATGTAGGCTGGATGCAGCCTGTGCTCCTAAGGGAACTCAGGATGGAACTGCCTTCCATCTCTTTCTGCCTAATCACGCCCAACACCCCACCCCAAACAAGTGACTTACGTGCCTGTAGAATCCACTGCCACAGCCCGCACCGCACCACGGTGACATAGAATCTTTGCCAGTGGCTCCTTCATAGCTGGACTCCACAAAGACACAGTACCTGGAGGTAAGAGGAGAATCCGGGTTACCAAAGCGAACCAGCCAGGGCCAGAAAAGCACAAGAGAAGCAAGTCAGTCAGGCCAGCACACGCGCAAAGCTGAGGCAGGCCGGCTGCTGGAAACACAGTTTGAGACAGGTACTTGTAGAATATTTGTACACTGTGTGAAGGTGTATTGCTGTGATTGGTCTAATAAAAGCTAAACGGCAAATAGCTAGGCAGGAGGTATAGGCAGAACTTCCGGGCAGAGAGAGAGAACTCTAGGAAGAAGGCAGAGACCCAACCAAGCACAGAGAAAGCAGCATGGACAGTTGACAGTATGCAGAGATGAGGTAACAAGCTTGGCAGTAGGTTCGGGTGGGGTCTATGACAGAACATAGATCAATGGAAACGGGCTAAGATGTAAGAGCTAGTGGGACAAGCCTAAGCTAAGGCTGAGCACTCATAATTAATAAGTCTCCATGCTGATATTTGGGAGACGGCTGACAAGACAGAAAAGGACTCCTTACAGGACCAGACTGATGTGGACCCCTCTGTGTGCTGTGAATACCATTGGTTAGTAAAGAAACTGCTTTGAGCCTACAGCAGAGAGCAGGGAGTGCAGAGCCAGGCAGGGAAAACCAAACTGAATGCTGGGAGAATGAAGGGCGGAGTCAAGGAGAAGCCATGGAGCCACCAGAGTCAGACATGCTGAAACTTTGCTGGTAAGCCACAGCCACGTGGCAATACACAGATTAATAGAAATGGGTTAAATTAAGATGAAAGAGTTAGCAATAAGAAGTTAGAATGGGCCAAACAGTGATTTAATTAATAGTTTTCTGTGTGGTTATTTTGGTTCTGGGCAGCCAGGACAAACAAGCGGCCTCCTCCAACACCAGACCCTGTCTCAAAGAGAAAAAAAGAAAAGCCAGGAACTGACCATTACTGTGCCCCAGGTGGACCACAGCATTGTAGGGGTTCTGCGCCATGACGCTGAGCCGGCCAGCCCGAGCATTGAGAGCTGTCACAATCTTCCCCACTGACACGTCCAGGTAGGTCAGAAACCCCGTCTCTGACTGAGAGGGAGAAAGAGATAGATGTCCAGCTGTCCAGTGTCCCTCTGCTGGTCCTAAAGGAGAAAGCTCCTCCCAAGGGCTGCCACAGGGCCCTCTGCTCCACAGCCACTCACAGCGGTGGCCAGGAGGAAGTGGAAGGGGAGGAATTCAAGCCGAGTTACTCGGTCACAGCGACGGATGCAATGGAGCTCAATGCCCTGGTTGTCGTAGATGTAAAGCCAGCGGTTCTGAGCCACAGCGAGCAAAGTCTCAGAATGAAGGAAGCTGGGTAGAAAGGGGGAAGGAGTTCTATGGAGCCAGGACCACAGGGCATCACCCAGTTGGGATCCGCCGACCCACGCCCATCGACTGCCAGCAGGGGGAACACTGACTGGATGTCCCGCACCGCTTCCATGACGTTGATTTCACACATGAGCTTCTTTGTCACCCAATCGAGGGCAGCCACATGACCCCGACGACCTCCTAATGCCAGGTGTCTGTGGAGGTGAAGCAGAGTTGATTCAGGGGGCGTCCTGACCTGACGGGAATCATTCGGTCAGCCCCACCCCAGCCCCTCGACAGACGGAGGAAGCGATGCTGTGGGCAGCAGCAACCAGACAGCACACGGCATAACCGAGAGGGGCACAGCTCCTGCCACTGAGGAAACGCGGCCACACGAGGTCATGAGTCACACGAGGGGCCAGGGGGATGGCTCACTCAGTGAAGAGCTTGTCACGAAAGCGTACAACCTGGGCCCAGATCCCGGTCACACGTGTAATCCCAGTGCCGAAGAGGCCAAGGCAGACAGATCCTGATGGACACGGACCAGGCGGCCAACAAGCTCCAGGTTCAGTGAGGATCCCGCTCAGCAATAAGGTGGAGGACTAAAGAGACGGCTGAGCGGGGAGCACCTGCCGCTCCTGTGGAGAACACTGGGTTCGGTTCCCAGCACCCACACATCAACTCACAACCAAACCATCTGTAACCCCAATTTCTAGGGATCTGATGCCCTCTTCTGATGTCATGATACCGGGCACACATGATGTTTACATATGCAGGCGAAACACTCATGTGTAAAATAGTAAAAATTTAGAAACGCTAAAAAATAAAGTGGAGGTTCAGGAAGAAGGCTCAGTGACTGGAAGCACTTGCTAGGCGAGCCTGGTGACCTGAGTTTGAACTCCAGACCCACACACAGGCAGACGGAGAGAACGACTCCAGTGCGTCACAGCCATGCGCGTCACAGCCATGCACAGACACACTCACACCCGGTCAAATAAACAGGAGAGAAACCGGAAAGCAACACAGGAAGATGCCACATTGACCTCTGGAAATCACACACATACATGCCCACGTGCAGGTACACCAACGAGTGAATACGCACACACAAACACAAAGTCACTGGAAACTGAGCGGCCGAGGGTGGGTATGGCTCAACAGTCAAGAGTGTGCTTTGCAGGCACGCACAAGGGCATGGGTTTCAAATCCAGAACCATAAAAAAGAGCTGGACTCCCTCCAGCTCCCGCTGTGATGATCCCTACCGTGAGAGACAGCATCCCCCAGAGCTACAGACCACAATCAACCCTTCTTCCCTAAAAAGCGGCCAGGGGAGGTATAGGAGAGGCCGTGCAGAGAGACAGAGCAGAGCTGGGACTGCGCACAAGTAGCAGTCTGGGTGTCCTAGACATGCCTATAACCCCAACCCCAAAGGAAAGGAAGACAGGATGACCACAGGGAACCTGACGGCTTCCTGGTTAAGAAAACACAAGCCCTGCCAGGTGGTGGTGGCATACACCTTTAATCCCAGCACCTGTGAGGCAAAGGCAGACGGGTCTCTGTGAGTTCAAGGCCAGCCTGGTCTACAGAGCAGATCCAGGACAGGCTCCAAAGCTACAGAGAAAGCCTGTTCTCCTCTGGCCTCCGTGTGCACACCCGCACATACACAAGTCACTAAGTCCTTCTTCAGAAAGAGGGACGAGCCACTGGAACTCAACCTTACCTCCCTGTTCGAGAGTAGTTCAGTCTGTAGGGTCCAAACTGCCTCAGGTTCAGGTCAAAGTGCTGGGAGAGGGTGGGAAACAAAATGAACGAATGAAGGCGGCCAGGTGGTCTCCTGGGCCCCTCTTCCGCCTCAGGCTCACCTTGGCAGCGCTTGCAATATCCACAGCCTCCACGATGTCTGTCTGCAGTATCTTGGCCGTGTCTTCGCCATCTTCTCCTTCCAGGAAGCTGAAAGGCAGTTAGAACCACGGGGACGCTCTCTAGCATGAAGTTGGCACCCAAACACGAAAATGCAAAAATCAAAGTCCCAGAAAGACAGGGTAGGAGAGCGCGGGTCCGGAACCACTCACCCAGGTTCCTCAGCAAGCAGCAGCTCGGCCCGGGCAGCTCTGACGCTCGCCTCCTCCTCCTGCGCTTCAGCAGTCTCAAGTTTGGTGCGGGTTTTTGGCTTCGATCGGGGGAGCTAGGGTATTGTCAACAGGGTTGAAAGAGCCGCTGAGCACCCGCGGGGCCCCAGCAAGGCCACCAGCCGAGTCATCCTGCTATCCCGCCCCACAGTCCAGCCCATCCTCACCTTCTTGGACTTGTCAATGCGGCAGAACTTCCGGGCCACCTCCGCGGGCGCGGGGGCGGGTCCTGGGAATGGGTCCTGGGCCTGGCGAGGGCAACGGAGGCAAGGGGCAGGTTCCGATCGACCCGGTTCCTCTCACCCGCACTGCCCCCCGCCCCGTCGGTCCCAGGCTCACCCCAGACAGGGTCCGCCGCGGCTTCTTCCGGTCCGAGGCGTTCTTGGGGGCCTGAGGCTTCCGGCCGAAGCGAGATTTCGGGGCGCCGCGCACGCCCTTGGACCTCGGGGGTCGCGGCTCCCGAGCCCTGGCCTTCTTTCGAGGCGGCCCCGCGGGGGCGGCGACCGGGGTGGCCTCCTCCTCCCAGTACCGTCGCGGTTTCTAGGGGCAGAGGAGGAGCGCTCGCACTCGCAGCCCGACCCGGATCCCGAGCCCCATGGCGCCCGCCGCCTCCCACCCAAGCCGCTACCTTCTTCTTGGCCTGAGGATTGTCCTTCTTGGGTGGGACACCCCTGCCCGGCTTGGGAGCTGTCTCCATCTCGGTGAGCGATGCGAAACGACCCACGTGCGGAACTCCTCTCAGCTAAGAAACTTCCGGCCTTCATCCAATCATCGCCGTACGGGATCTGAAGCCTCTGGCGCCATCTTGAGTGAGGGCAAGCCTCCGCGAGCCTCTAGGAGCCGGTAGGGTCGCCCGATTCTGACCGAATGATGACTAACAGGCAAGTCCGGGTCCAGAATCCTGGTAACGGTGAATTCTTTTTTTTGCCAGATCAACTTCTCTCTCTTGCCTAAAACCTCTTGGGTCGAGCCCTTTCGGTAGAACGAGTGTCATACAGGTCAGAACTACAAATCCCGGCATGTGTCAGAATGCGACTTCCGGCGCCGTCTTTCTCCCGGCATGCCTTGTTTACTTCCGGGTTTATTAAGACAGTGGGTCTAACGTGAAGAGGTTAGGGTTCGACTTGGAGGATTCGGGTCTGTTTTCGCTCTCCAGTTCCTAGGGAGTGGCTGCTCTGGATGAGGAAAGGCTGCGGTGCCTCAGAGAGCTGCCAACAGAAAGTGCTGTCCCTCCGCAGGGCCAGAAATCGGAGCCCAGGTGCCTTCCATCGCTTGAGAGCCAGCGACCCCCGCCCTAGGCTTTCATCTTCAGGATGGCTGAGCTGATCCAAAAGAAGCTGCAGGGAGAAGTGGAGAAATACCAACAGCTGCAGAAGGGTAAGAGCAGAGCTGGCGTGGTCCTGCCCCACGGGCCCCTCGCCTCCGCATCCTCGCTCTGTCCTCACCTCCAGCCTCTCCGGGATTGTGCGGGTCTTGGCCCATTCGCTGTTTTTAATCATGCGTTTCCTCTCACCACCTCAGACTTGAGTAAATCCATGTCAGGGAGGCAGAAGCTTGAGGCCCAGCTTACAGAAAATAATATCGTGAAGGAGGTGAGGATCTGGGACGCTGGGGCTAGGAGGAGCTCTGCTGGGCACGGTTATCCCATAAAACCTCCCATCCTCTTCAGGAACTGGCCTTGCTGGATGGATCCAACGTCGTCTTTAAGCTGCTGGGACCCGTGCTTGTCAAACAGGAGCTAGGGGAGGCTCGGGCCACGGTGGGGAAGAGGCTAGACTATATCACAGCGGAAATGTAAGTGCCTCGCCGCCCTGCGCTGGCATTTCAGCGCAGAAATGTTGAGCCCGGGCTGGGTAGTTCTCCACAGCCGCCCCGCTTATCCATTTTCCAAGCCCTCATTTCCTTTACTCCTCCCTGAGACAGGATCTTGCCACAGAGTATTGGCTGGCCTGGAACTCACTGCTTAGACCAAGCTGGCCTCAGTCACAAATATGACTGCTTCTGCCTTCCGAGACCGGCTTAGAGACACCACCACCTCAACCTTTCTTTTTGTGTTACAATTGGGGGAGGGGGTGTCACGTGTGCCATGGCAACTCATGTATAGTCAGAGGACAACCTATGGGTTCTGGAGATTGAACTGAGGTGTCAGCCTCGGAGGACACCGGCCCAACCTATCCACTGGTTCATCTCATCAGCCTTTTCTTTCCCTTAGCACCCCCATCCCACAAACCTCACCAGTCACCCTTCACCACTCAGCAATGAGCCCCACTAATTTCTCCTTTGTGCCTGTCCCTTTTTTCCCCTCCTCAGTAAGCGCTACGAATCGCAGCTTCGGGACCTTGAACGGCAGTCAGAGCAACAGAGGGAAACCCTTGCTCAGCTGCAGCAGGAGTTCCAGCGAGCCCAGGCAGCAAAGGCTCCTGGGAAGGCCTGACCCCCATGGAAGGGGGAGGGGAGGGAAGGGGGAGGCAGCTTCAGGGTCCCCACTAGAATAGCCAATAAAATGTAAACAAAAGCAAGTCATTCTACCAGCCTCTGAGATAGAGTCCTTGCGGCTGGAATCTCTGTGGCGGTTCTGGTGCTGAGAACTAAACGCCTGTGTGCCTTCAATTTGGAGTCTGAAATGTCTCAAGCGATGTCTTGCCTGTTCGTGCGGCCCGTTATCTTCCCTTCCCTAAGACATGGGGTCTAAGCCGAAGACGCAGTGCAGCGTGTTGTTGAGAATGTCAGTTTAGCTATGGAACTCGGAGTTCTCCAGCCTGAGAGCCTGGGATAGGATGTGGTTGCTCACTATGAGCACCTGGCCCCGGGACAGCCCTAGAGCATTAGTGCATCTTCACCTGTCGTCTTAGCATTGCTTTGACCACCTGCTTCTGCCTCCCAAGTGCTGGGATTAAAGGTGTGCGCCACCAGCACCTGACTGAATGTAACTTAACTAATCTGAGATTCTCCCGAATTTATGTGTCGTATCCACAAAGTTGTTCTTTAACTTCTTTGTCCTAAATTATCTCTTACAACTCTGCCTTGAGGGACATCTGCAGTGACTGCTGTCCCTTGGGAGCCCCTTGAGTCTTGGGGTCTGTGGCAAGGGAAAGCCGGGTCTGTGAAGGGGCCAGGAGTGAGGGCATCACCGGGTTAACTGTCACCAGGACCTTGCTCTCAGGTTCCAGGACGGACCAGAGCCTTGTCCATCCTGCCAAGCCCATGAACACTGAGCCATGCTGGGGACCTCTGAGAGTGGCACCACTGGCCCTGGCCCTGTGCCTTCTTCCGACCCACTCCCCAGTCCTCGTGTCCAGCTCTGTACACTGAAGGATGGGGACGGGATCAGGTAGTGTTTGGTTTATTATCTTAGTGTTGTCACGGTGACAAGAACCCCCAGCGTGGGACGAGAAGGTCCCAGCAGAACGTCCTGTCACTGTCCTCCACCCTGGGCTCAGCCTCTAGGCCTCTCCTGGGCCCTTCACAGGCTAGCGCATGGCAGGAGTATGCTCTTCCCAGCATTGACAGTATACCACATTCCCCAGGTGAACGCTATGTGCAGGACCCAGTTTGGTTATATGGTCACCAGTCCCACAGGGCTGGCCTTCGAGGTGGTTTGGTAAACAAGTGCACTTCACTGTCCCAGGACTGCTGGCCACCTTTTGGGATTTCCGCCCTGGTTTAATGGCCGCCATTGGTGGCTGCTCACACATGGTGCAAGTGCTATGACTTCTGTAAACCAAGAGGACATCCTCCTCAGAACAGGGCCCGCGCAATCTTCCTCCCTGTGGCCTTAATCCTGGGAAAGGAGCCCCCTCCTCCCTCGCTAGGGGGAGTTCCTGAGGCAGAGGGGCCGGCATGGGAGCCCGGTGTGGCAGCAGAGGACCTTCTGCGCTGCCGCAGGATGAAATCGTGAGATGCACCATCCATAGCGTAGAAGACGTTAGCCGAGTGTGGGATGGTTAGCTCTGTGGGTGCAGAGGGGGTCAGGCATTCACTGCTCCCCCAGGCCCGGTGAGAACACACCCTCCACTCTGTCTTCCCCTGGCTGCTCACCTCGCTCCCCGGGCAGCAGCTGCACCAGCTCAAACTCTGAAGCCACTGCGGAATCACGATTGTTTTTCTTAAGGACACGACTAATGACACTTGGGGCCTTGTCCTGGCTTGTCACCTTGCAAGAGACCAAAAGAGCAATAAATATACATGACAGCCAGTTTCCTACCCTTCCAACCCATCCAGAAGAGTTAAAATGAATAGGAAACCCAAAATGGTGGTTGCCAGTGCCCGGTAAACTGGCCCACATGGTGCCCAGTACAACAAGCATGCAGGAAAACTGTTGGCTCTGAAGGTGTAGTGCAGCCCCCAGAACTCAGGGAGTGGCCCGCTAATGCAGAGTTGCCATCAACATCAAACACTTGGTCTGAGGAGTCCCACAGAAGCCACAGTTGAGTCCTGGCTGCCCAAGCCCAATGTGACAGATGTCTGACATGGCAGGGTCCTTCCCACCCTGCCCAGCCCCAGGCTCTCACCAAGATGCTCTTGTAGATGCTGCCATCTTCCCCCAGCTCCATCTGGACTCGGATAATTCGGCAATCAGAGGACCCTGGTCCAGATGCCCCTCCCCCATACCCAGCACCCCTAGAGGCCCCTTCGCCTGTGCCCCCACTCAGTGGAGATCCACAGGAGGCTGAGCGGCGGTGACCTCGAGAAGGCCTAGGGGAGGAGGCTGGTGGGGAGAGGTGGCTGGGGTCAGCAGGACTGTGCAGGGAGGGGCTGCTTTCCAGGGCAGAGTCCAGAGAGGAGACGGATGGCCACTTCATGTGCTAGGGGCAAACAGGTCAAGTCAGAAGGAAAGGAGGCGAAAGAGAAATGTCTTAGCATAGTCAGAGTTAAGAGCGGACTCACCTGGGCCAGCCGAGTCAGCAGGGGAGCAGGGGTTCCAGGTACCTCATCTCCCCCAACACTGGGCCGATCCCAGGACACCAGAGGAGTGGGGCCTCCAACCGAGCCCAGGACTCTGGAGAGGCAGGGAATTAGAGAACGGGCAGTGGCAGGTCCCCAGAAAACCAGCTCCCGGGCATCAGTGCTCCTACTCTGTCCACTGGGAGATGACTAGCGTCGGCCGGAGCATCCTTGAAGCAGGAGAGTCGCTGGTACCAGGTGGTTCCACTTCACAGGACACACGGTGACTGGACAAGATAGCCATGGGCAGAGGTCAGCACATGCCACCAACACACCCACACATACCCATGTCCCCCAGCCCGTGTCCTCCAACCACCCAGCCAGTCACCTCTGAGCTTCGGTTAATGGCTGGAGGCCCTGGAGCCATTGCTGGATATCTGGGTCAGGTCGGAGGTCATAGCCACGACATTCATTCTGGAGGCGTAGCAGCTCGGAAAGGACAGCAAACTCCTGGGAAGGAGCCCTCAAACTGCAGGAGCCAAAACTCAGGAGCCCCTGAGTTTGCCTCCCCCTTCCCCTTCCTGGGGCATGGACAGAGAAGCCCAGCGTCCAGTCCCAGTCTGCTCACCTTCCTCCGCTTGTCAAAATTGATGTAGCCGTTCTGCAGGGGCAGTAAGGGATGAAAATAATGACCCTGCTCAGGCACCAGAGAGAACACCCCCGTCCGCAAACAGCCAGGGCACGAGCCACTCAGACCCTGGGTTCTATCCCTGTCCCCAAGCACATCTCAGACCCATGAGACAGGGTCTCACTGTGTGTAGCCTTGACTGGTCTAGAACTCACCACGTAGATAAGACTAGCCTTGAAGTCATAGAGATCTGCCTGCGTCTGCCCCACGTGCCGTGCTGGGGTTCCAGCTGACGCCCAGCTCCACTGGACACTTTAAGACTTTAAGTTGCTGTCTGAGGGAAAGCATCTAGCTTCTAGATGAGAAAACTGGGCTCACGGCAGGACATGGAACTTTCTGGAAGCCTCAGCGTTTTCTTTCGTTTGCAGCACTGAAGGTGGAACCCGGGGTCTTGGACATACTAGGGCCCTCACACCACCATGAGTTACTCAGCATTTGTATATTTAATAAACAATATACCAGTGTTTCCAGGATGCTCGAAGCTCTTGACAAATATGTATCTATTTACCCCTCCCATTAATGGGCTGACATAGACAGTCAGACATATACCGACAGACCACTGAAGTGTAGAGGTTGAACTGTTTGCCATGAAACTGTAGCCAGTCTGCTGCTTCTGTCTTGTAGCCTGTCCTGTCTGTGGAAGGGTGTCTGTCTGACCCTTAGGTGCCCTTGTTAAGCCTTCCAGGACGAACCTCTTGCAAACACACACACACACACACACACACACCACTGACCTCCAGCTCATCCTTGGAGGCGGCATTCAGCATCACAAGGTCCTTCAGGAAGGTCCCAAGATATGGAACCACACCCTGCAGAGAGATCAGGGTCAGACTCCTGTCAGGGTACAGCCTTTCCCTCCACAGAACCACAGAACCTGCTTCAGTCACCTCACCAGGAGAGCCTCCCATCCCAGCCCCTCTGGTTACTCACCCCACCCCTGGAGCCAGACCTTGGCGCCTTCTTGGAGTGTGGCTCAACAGGGGGCTGCAGCTTCACTTCCTGGTGGTGACAGAGACCAGGTGACTGGGAGGAGGGAGCAGGTGCAGAGGTAGGGAAGCAAGACTGGCCTCACCTGCATGAGGAGCTCCCTGCTCTGGGAATAATTATCTTCCTCTGAGAAAACCTGGCACAGGTTGGAAAAGACTCTGAGGCTGTCCCTAGGGAGGAAGAGCAGTCTGAGCACAGGCCTGGCCTAGCTGCTGCACTCCAGGCCTCAGGCGCTCCACGCCTCCCACCTGGCTGCTTCCCCCCAGGCCGCCCGAAGCCTGTGGATAGGGCTGGACTGCAGGGCAGACACAACAGCATAGACTGAGGAGAAGTTCCGAAGCAGGCGGCACTCCTGTGAGGACGGGAAACAGAGTCAAGGTTTACGGCCCCTCTCCACAGCACAGCCCCCCAGTAGGATTGCTCTTTCTCACCTCTGCCACTCGGATCCACTTCTCCAGGAGCCGGGCCCTCTGTGGGGGTCGGAGGGGCCTCACGGTCACCTCCCCTGGTCCCTCTCCAATTGAGGTGGCCCCCAGGACAGAGCTAACTACTGCCCCTGCCACCTTGTTGAACTGCGTGACAGTAGCTCGGACAGATGAGCAGAGGTGAGAGTGTCCCGGCCGGTCCCTGTGACCCCAGAGGCCTCCCAAACACTGAGAAGGGATCACATTGAGAAACAGCTCCTGCAGGGCGGAGGTCATAGGTTAAAATTCATAGTCAAGCCAGGCAAGTTTCCAATACCAGGGATCTGAGGCTCTTAAGTGACCAGGGACCAGCAGGGCACAGAGCTGGAGGACTACAGCCACAAGGAGGAGGGAGGGGAGGGTCAGAGCAGCAGACGGCAGAGGAATCCAGGAGCATTGGAAGCAAGGAAAGGATCTGGAGCCGAGGAGAGTTAGTGAGGGGTCAGAGAGTGTAGGGTCAAAGGTCAAGGTCTCACCGCATCTAGCAGGGTCAGCTGTTCGGCCAAGTGGTCAGCGAGGAACACCAGGACATCCGTGGGGTCAGCAGGGGAATCGCCAGGAAGGGCCAGGGGCTTAGGAAGGTCGGGGGCCCGGGGATCTACCCGGGCCCGAAGGTTTCGGATGAGGTCAGCACTGCCCCCCCCAACACCCTCCCGTGCTGCATACCCTGTCCGAAGCAAGAAGCTCTCAAGCCGGTCAAGCTGACCCTTGACCTCAGAGCCAAAATCCTCAGGGTGAGAGGCCAGCCAGGTTGAAAGAACGGAGATGGCTACCCTGAGAGAAGGGGAACCAGCCAAGGGTCAGAGGTCCAACCTCGGTTTCCTCAGAGGGGACGAGGTAAAGTCAGGGGCCACTCACCCTGTGGTCCTCTCTAGCTCGCCAGGAGCATGCAGCTCGAGGGCTTCCAGCCTGGGGATGAGGAGAGGCTCTACCTACACCGCTTTGCCAACCCCCCTGGTGCTGTGAGCTCAGAGCACGTCCGGAGCCCCTCAACCCTCGGTCCCCGACCTGTCAGTCACAAGCCCAAACAGGGCGGGCGTGGAGGTGAAAGCCCGGTGGGTGGCCAGCAAGGCTGGTGTGAAAGTCACGTCAGTCCCTGCCGTCCTGGCGTCCAACAGGTGTCTGACCAGGGCTTCCAGAGTGCCAGCGCGGAGCCGTCGGGAAGAACGTGGGGGAGGCAAGGGGGCCTGGAGAACACGGAGGAGCACACTGATCTCCCAAGCCTACTGCTAGATGTCTGGGGTAATCCAGATCTCGCTCATTTTTGCTAAGATTCAGAAAGGACAAGGTACATGGCTTAAATCACACCACACAGAGTCCTAGACTCCAGACATCCAACCAGTGCTCTGGCCAAAAAGAGAGGAAAGAAATCAAAGAAAGAACTGAGAGATGAGAGGTCAGAGGTGAGAAGTCAAAGTCATGATCTCACCAAGGGATCAGGAGGCCGATACTGGCGGCTTGTGACAGTAAAGGTGGCACCATCCTCCTCCTCATCCCAGACAGACACAGGAGCCTGGAGAAGCAAGGAAGAGGAAGTCAGTTCCACAGCACCTCTGATCCCGGTCCCTAGCCATTGTTCCCTAGGCCCTGCTCCTCCCGCTGTACCCCTCACCTGCGATGGCGGGGGACAATACCAGCGAGTACGAGGGGTAGAGGGTGCTGGTGACCCCAGGTCTACCCCCACTGGGGCTCAGACAGCCCCCCCCCCCAACCGCCTCAGAGCTCGGTGGAATAGAGGTTGCAGTGTGTCAACTGAATGCAGGAACACACCCAAATCCCTTCCCCACACACACAGCTGAGCCCAACGAGGCAGAAAAGCGGGGTGCAAAGGGCAGGAGCAGGGCGCCACAAGAGGCCCAAAGCCAAAGGCAGAGAGACCTGAAGCAGAGAGAAGCTGAAACGTCAGGCCGTCTCATGCCCCGCCCTCCCTGACAGAAGCAGAGGAGCCCAAATTTAGTCCCTCTTCATAGACTCCCTTTCCCAGGTCTCCCGAATGCAGCTTCCACTAAATCTCAGCACTGGGGACCCCCTGAAGGTGGCGGCTCCAATCCCAGTTACAAGAAGGGGAAGTAAGGGTGATGGGGGGCGGGCGGGAGGAGAGCGGTAGACTCATAGTCATGTGGCCCTAGCCCCTCCCCGGACTGATCCCGAAAAACCAGCCTTGCCAGTCACCCTAACTTTACTAATTAATGTTAGTCGGGACCCAGGAGTCCAGGGCCTCTTGAGCTCCGAATCTAACTTCTGGACCCTCCTGAAGCCCTAAGACCTGTTGTTGGCCACAACTATCAGTCCCAAAGAACGAAGATGACCACTGTCTACCTATCCTGGGATCATCTCTCCAGGTGCCAGTACCTCTTAGTTTGGCTCAATCCGGCACCAGGGGGTGGGGGAAGGGGCGGCGAAATCTGAGGGTTCCCTCCCCAATCCTAGAGGCTGAGGAGCTGGTTACCGTGGAAACAAACCCCTCCCCGCCAAACAAAAACCAGGAGGGAGACAGGGACCTAGACACACCGCCCAGAGACAGCTTTCTGAGGCAGGTACGGGCACGGAGGGCCTGAGCCCCGCAGGCACAGCCAGTCTGCTTGCCAGCCAGACATTCCAGGCAGGAACTCGGGAGGTTCCTGTGGACGGGTCTCGAGTCAGACGGACAGGGAGGACTACAGAAACACCAGGACCCGCGGCAAGATACCCAGACAGAGGTCCGGATGTGAGCGAGGCAGGGCGGAAGAGACCGAGGGACCCAGAGACACCAGAAGGAGAGTCTCAGAAATATTTAATGCCCTGCCTCCCACCACCCGCGTCTCACCTCTTCTTCTTCCTCATCCTCTTCCTCCTGCCCCCCGCCCACGGCCCGGCCACCTGGGTCCCCACCCTCTTCGGGATCTCGGCTCCGGAAGCTGCTCAGCACGACTCCCCCGGGGGGGTTCGTGTCCAAAAGCAGCCGCAGGGGCCGCGGGAGCATGGCCGAGTGAAGGAATCAGCGGGGTCAAGCCATGGGGGCGCCTGGGGAGAGACGGGTGGGGTGGGGGTGGAGTCAGGCGGGCGTGGGGGACACGGGCGTGGGGGACACGGGCAGGGAAGGGGACCTGGGTGGGGGTCCCTCAGGAAGGCTGGGGGGAGGGAGCACACGAGAGTGGGAAACCGGGGTCCTCAGTGCCCGATAGGGGTTAGGGGATCATAAGTGCGGGATGGGCAGGGTCACCCGGTGCTCTGGCTCTGACCTGTCGCGAGGGGTGAGAGGCTGCGCTCGGGTTCTGGCCCTCTGTCCTGGTCGGTCTCTGGCCCTCGACCGAGTCCCCTCCCGAGCTTTTCCGCGCCCCCCCTCCCGAACCCTGCCGGGTTCCCGGGCTCTCCCGCCCTTTCCGCTTCCCCCCTCCCCGTGTCCGCCCGCCCGACAGCAGGAGCCAAAAAGGGAAGGAAGTGAGGACAGGAGCCAGGGCCGCCGACTAGGGAAGTGCTGGACGCCAGGGCTCGGGACCCAGGCGCCAGGAGCCCCACTCCACTATGCCCTGCAATTCCTGCTCGGGGACTCCGGAGACCCTGTCGCCCAGAACAGACAGACTGGCGATCTAGTCCTCTCAAGCCTCCGCGGGAGGGCAAGAGCAGGATTTTAAATCTTTCTCTAACAAGGACAAGTGCAACTCCCTCGGAAGGCGCTCTGGTGGTGGTGGTGGGGCGCCCCTATTATTGCAGCCCGCTAATGACACTGCCCACGCCAGCGCGCGGGTGCAACGGAGCAAATCCGCCCCGGGTTTTCTGGGCCGCCTTTGTGTCCGCCCACCCCAGGGGCGGGGCCGGAAGTCGGCTAAGGAGGTGCGGCGGCGTTTCCGTCGCTCTTGGGTCCGCCGCTGCCGGAATCCGGGTCTCTCGGTGCGCCAGTGTACGCAGTTCCTACATAGCTGCGTCGCCTCCCGGCACGGGGAAGGCCAAGTACTGGCAAAGGCACGGAGGCGACCGGGTGGTTCGCTGCGCTTGTAAAGAGGGCAGAATGAGACCCGCGTGGAGAACTCTGAAACAGTTTTATTGGCACACGACTAGACCGATATCTTGGCGGGCGGGCGGGCAGGAGAGGACGGACATCCTTTAAGGACGGCCGGTGAACCTCACGAGAGGGACACTCGGGAGTCCGTGGAAGGACGAGGCCCATCAGGTCTGTGGCCCAAAGATGGCGAAGGTAGAGCAGGCGGAAAAAACGCTGTGGTGTGAGGGGAACTGGAGAGGTAGGCATTAGTCGGTCATGGGAGACACACTGACCGCTGGGCTCTAGATCCGTCGTGAGCTGTCCCAGAGGTCCCCAGCACATTAAGATGCTCTAATCCCTTAGTCGTTGTAATTATATAGCCAGTGATTCTTCACCTTCCTAATCTTACAACCCTTTAATACAGTTTCCCATATTGTGGTAACCCCAACCATAAAATTATATTCGTTGCTACTTCATACTTGTGATTTTGCTATTGTTATGAATCCTAATGTAAACATCTGATATTTCTGATGGTCTTAGAGGGGTCATGACCTGCAGACCTGCAGGCTAAGAAACGCTGCTCTAGAGCATAGAGACACTTCATTTGTTTTTCGAGACAGGGTTTCTCTGTGTAGCTTTGGAGCCACGTCCTGGAACTCACTCTGTAGACCAGGCTGGTCTCGACCTCAGAGACCCACCTGTCTTTGCCTCCTGAGTGCTGGGATTAAAGGCGTGTACCCCACCGCATGTTTATTCTTGTGTTTAGTTCTCTCAAAAGAATCCCCACCCTGGCTAAACTGGAACTCCCTATTGTAAATCAGGTTGGCATGAGACTCAAGTGAGTTTCATGCCAGCCTGCCTCCACCTCCGGAGTCTGGAGTGCCAAGTGATGGGATCAAAGGCGTAGGTCACTTTTTCTTTCTTTTCTTCTTTTTTCTATTTTATTTTTTTTTAAGTTACGTTCCAATAGCCCACATAACAAAAACTCTTTGGGCTTCTTGATCATTTTAACATGTATTGGGACTCAAAATTTTGAGAACCTCTGTCTTCGAGCCTTAAGAACTAAAATAATAATAATAATCCTCAAGGCATGGTGGCCAATGTCACTCTGGAGGCAGGGACAGATGGATCTCTGGGATTTCAAGCCCAGCCTGGTTGGTTTGATGAGGACCAGGCCAGCCAAGGCTACATGGAGAGACCTTGTCTAAAAACAAGAACAAAAACAACAACTAAAGTAAAAACTAAACAACTCCCGCCGCATGCTCAATGGAAGAGAAACTGTTGGGGGAGGGGCTGCTGGAGTCGGCTGGGTAAAATGAGGTGGCTCCCACGGAAACTGTTGGGGGAGGGGCTGCTGGAGTCGGCTGGGTAAAGATGAGGTGGCTCCCACGGAAACTGTGCCTTACTGTGACTTCTGCAAGAGAAGAAAGAAGTGGAGGATTTGATGCAGAGTGAGTTCCTCCAGGTTAATCCAGAAACATTCTTGTCAGGGGTAGGGAGCAGGATGGGGCTGGTATTTCCCGCCTGTTAGATACAGTGTTGAGTGTTCTACCTCCTGAGTTCTCTGGAAGAGAGGAGCCATCTTCTCAAAGGCCCTAGGGGTCATCTGAGACCAAGCAAACTCTACCCCTGGGCTGTGCTGGGAGCTTTGGGATTTCTTGCATTGTTTACATGTTTAAATATTCTGGACAGGTAAGATTCAAGAATTAATGTAGAGTGCACAGTGGCCTCCTTGTTTTATGAGAGCATTTCCTCCATAGCGGTTCTTCCCTTTAGCCACCACCTATCCTCATACTTTGACGGCACCCATTTTACTCTGTAATAAATTCTGATTGTCTTCTGCTGGTGAAATGGCTCAGCAGGCAGAGTTGACTGCAGGTGGTCGAGTCTGAGCTGGGCTCCCATCATGTTGTAGAAGAAAACTGGTGCCCCAGAGTTGTCCCCTGACAGCCAACCACGTGTGAGAACACACCCCACATTCACACACGCACACAAAATAAAACCTTCAGAAAGATGTACTGGTGGGGCGACTGGGGGTAAAGGTACCTGCCAATCTGAGTGTAATAATCCCCAAGACCCCCATGTTAGGAGGAGAAAACAACTCCCCCAGTTGTCCTTTGAGCTCCACGTGTATGCTGTGAGATGCACATGCCCACACAGATAAATCAATGTCATTTCTAAAAATTACAAAGGAAAGGTTTGTTAACTGAGTGTGGTGACACTCCTGTGACCCTAGCACTGGAAAGGGAGGGAGAACAATGGAGAGTTATGATCACACTCAATAAGCCCTGTGGTGGGGTTACTCCCCAAAGTAACAGAGGTCAGCCTGTTCTACACAGAGAAACTTTGTATCGAAAAACCAAAATAAAATAAATAGAATTATCCTCAATTATGTATCAAGTTTGAGGTCAGCCTGGACTAGAAGACCTGTCTCAACGAAAATTCAATAAACATATTATTAGATTATTTTGCCTGGCTCATGTTACTTCTCTCCCCCATGAGCCAAGGTTTCAATGGAGCAGCCTAGAACTCAGATTCTGCCTCAGCCTCTAAAGTGCTGTGCCCAAAAGCATGGCCCAGCACACCTGGTTTTTTTCTTCTCTTTTTTCTGAGACAGGGTTTCTCTGTAGCTGTGGAACCTGTCCTGGAACTCGCTCTGTAGACCAGGCTGGCCTCGAACTCACAGACACCTGCCTGCTTCTGCCTCCCAAGTGCTGGGATTAAAGGTGTGAGCTACCACTGCCCCACTTCTTTTTTTTTTTTTTTACCGTAGCTACTAATTACTCCAGCTTCTGTGTGGTAGCTACTAATTACTCCAGCTTCTGTGTGTGAGTCACGTCTCTAACAGACTGCACTGCACCCAGGGAAACAGACCCAGACTGGAAAGTCTGAGGTGGGCTACAGTTAGGACGAAGGACTGTGTGAAGTCTACACCTGCGGCTGCCTGCCATGCCAGCAGCCAGCGTCCCACCCCCACCACGGAGTATAACACAGCAGGAGGCAGGAAAGACCCAGGAATGGGCACTGTTACCTTTGAGCTCAGGCTGGCAGCTGCCGCCTTCTCCTTTGAGTCTTCATGAATGGTCTGGTGGGCCACTATGGGAAAGATGGAAGGGAGGGGTGTTAGTGGCTGGCAGGGAAGGACGAGGTGAGACTGCAGAGAGTACGCAGGTTCACACCTACCGATCCAGCCTAGTGCCTTCATGAGTCCCAGAAGGAGAAAAGCAGACAGGAACAGGCCTACGCTGTCCTCGATTGAGGGCCGGGAGAGGCCTAGCAAGGGAAGCAGTGTGAATGAGCTTGGTGTTTTCTGAGGTTGCACCCTGTTCAAGGGTTCTCCAGGTTACCTGCCACCTCCAGTGTGACTTCAGCACTGCGCCGCGATGCTGGCAGGCTGGGGTGGCGGACCCGACAGGCATAGCGTACTCCATGCTGATTGGCAGTGACCGGGGGCAGCCGCAGGTGCCCAGCCTGGCTGACAGAGCCATCGGAATGGTGGCGGACGGTGGACAGCCACGTCTCCCCCTCAGCCTTTCTAGAACCGCCTTCTGAGCCACCTCTGATCTCCCACTCCACCTCCAGGCCCTCCTCAGGGTAGAAGTGGGACACAAGGCAGATCAGTTCCGGGGGTGTCTCTCCTGGGGCAGCCCACACAAGGGGTGCTGGTGTCAGAGACACTTTGGGGGGCTCTAAGAAAGAATGGAAAGGAAAGTGAGAGACTCCACTTCGTTCCTCGGTTTGTCTTCTGGTTTCCTAAACTAGAGAGGGTACTCTAATGGTGGGGAATCCCAGGACCCCAGTCTATCTTCCTTCTGTCATCCCCTCCCTCTGCCATGGCGTCCCCACTCACTGTGCACAGTCAGCTGCAGGGAGACCTGTCCTTGCAGATAAGGCAGGTGCACAGTGGCCAAGTAGGTGCCCTCCTGAAAAGGCTTCACAGCCGGCAGCCAGAAGGTTCCATTCCCAGTCCATGGGCCCCAGGGCTCATTGTCATCCCAAGCAGCAAAGGCCACGGCCTTTTCTTGGGCTGGTGGTGTTTCCCCAGCCAGCCCAGGAGTTGCAGCCAGCAGCAAGTAACCCTTGCCCCTGTGCTGCCGTCGCCACTCCAGCCCAAAGGGAGGGGGGCCAGTGGTCGGAGACAGAGCATCTTCCAGAACAGGGGGCATGTAGGCAAAGCTCAGGTCCAGCACTGCGTCTTTTCCCAGCTGGATCCGGGGAACAGGGCTGTGAGTGAGGACAGTCAGCACCACTGGGCATTGGGAGAGAGGGGAGAAAGGGAAGGTAGAGAGGCAGAACTGTGGGCCTGGGCCAAGCTCCAGTTGACCCACCCCTGAGAGACACCTCCATTTGTAATACTACCTCCAAGCCTTCCCTTTATTCCGGTTCTAAGCTAACATAGTTAAGAAAGTGCAGGAAGTATAGGGATAAATCAAGGCGACATGTGTATGTAGGGCAGAGGTATGGCTTTGGGCAGGCTGTGCTGAGCCCACCACGGTTCTCAAATTCTGGAGATGTCCAAGATCTAAGGGCACATTTAATTTTTTTTTAAATTTTTATGTGTATGAGTGAGTGCCTGCATGTGAGTGCCTGCATGTAAGTGCACCATGTGGGTGCAGTACCCAAGGAGGCCAGAAGAGGGCACTGGATCCCCTAGAATTAGAGTTACAGGTGGCTGTGAACCATCATGTAGGCACTAGGACCACTACCCTGGCAGCCAGTGTTCTTAACTGCTGGGCTATCTCTGCACACACATACCTTTTTTTTTTTTTTTGAGACAAGACTCACTCTGGCTCAGCTATCTTGAAACTCACTATGTAGGCTAAGTTAGTCTGGAACTCAATTGATTCTCTTACTTCAGCCTCTCAAGTTCTTTCTTTCCATTTATTTTTTTTTATGTGTGTGTGTATGTATGTGGGGGGAGGTGGTGGGTGGCTAACAGGTGCTGCACTAACGAATGGACTGAGGACCTCACACAGGCCAGGCGAGTACTCCATCACTGGACTATCTTGTTTGAAACAGTCTCACGTAGCTCATGCTGTCATGGAATTCTTGAGCCTCCTGTCCCTGCCTCACAAGTGCTAAGATTGTAGGCATGCATCTCCAATACTGACAATCAGATTCACACATAGTAGGCAATGGGTCTACTACTGAGCTACACCTAACTCAGCCCCTCCTAATTTCCAAACCAGGAGACTCAGGCAGGAGACTCAGGCATGAGTGCCAGACAAGCCTGGGCGTGAGACCCAGTCTCAAAAACAAATGAAGTGAATAACAGAGGCGGTCGTAATAGGAATAGTGCCTACCTACTGAGCTGTAGTGAAGGCTGTGTTAGCTGATGCTTCTAGCTAATCAAATCTGTAAATTCTTGGCTTAATAAGCACCTCTACAGGAGGCTCTTAGTACACGGAGCTCAGAAAGTCTACACACCAGAGCTTCATGCAGATAGGGAATCTCTCCCACTAAGTTTCCCCAACCCATTAATGCTTTGTTTATTTTGTTTTTGTTTTTTTTAATTAATTAATTTGTTATGTATACAATAGTCTGTCTGTGTGTATGTCTGTAGGCCAGAAGAGGGCGCCAGATCTCATTACAGATGGTTGTGAGCCGCCATGTGGTTGCCGAGAGTTGAACTCAGGACTTTTGGAAGAGCAGGCAATGCTCTTAACCACTGAGCCATCTCTCCAGCCCCGTTTATTTTGTTTTGTAAAAGATTTATTTTTTTTCCAAAGTGGTGGTGGCACACACCTTTAATCCCAGCACTTGGGAGGCAGAAGCAGGAGAATCTCTGTGAGTTTGAGGCCAGCCTGGTCTACAGAGTAAGTTCCAGGATAGGAGCCAAAACTACAGAGAAACCCTGTCTGGGGTGAGGGGACGAGAATGAGTCTTGCTATGTTGTGCAGGCTAGCCCAGGGTAGCTGCACACGCCGGAGAGGCCTGCCTGAGCTTCCCGGTGCTAGGACCACAGGCACACGCCCGCACACCTTGCCAAGGCTTTGGTCTATATAAACTTCCAACAACAGTCAGCTGGAGCTGGAAATTTCTGCGTCCTAACTTCTTGGTGCTAGTGAACATTTTCTTTTGGATCAGTGAGTAAAGTAACAAGTGCCTTGCTTCACTATCGCAAGGAAAGGCAGCTGGGAAAACAGGTCCTGCTTTTCACACAGCTGGAAAAAATAGAGCCATAGAGGAAAGGTTGGCGCCACCACCACCTCACAGTGAAGACCAACTGTGTGGGGACTGACCAGAGAGAACAGCGAGAGCTCCTAGACATTTAGTCACATCTACCCCGCTTCAGCATATCTGCCTAAAGAGTAACCCTGAGTCCAGCCCAGCAAAGTGCTGGACCCCTGGAACACAGCGGCAGCTAGTCACCAAGTGGCCTTTGCAGAATCCTCCGTCTTTGTCGCGTCCCTTCTGCCCGCTAGAGGCCGCTATTCACGGACCACAGACCGTGGCCCGGAGCCGAGCCTGAGGAAGAGTTTCCTTGCCTGGCTGATTGTCACTAGGCCTGAATGGGCTTAGGACACTCAGAGTCTCAGAGTCAATTATAGGAGTTGGGGGGCGGGGCTAGCAATTTACTGTCCTTGGAGGAGTACAGACAAAATTCGGGTTTTAAGACTCACTGCCTGTCACTCTACAAGTTCCTCAAGTTCTGCCCCCTGGAAACCACCATGACTTCCCTAATCCCCGCCCCAAAACCAGAGTCGATTTCAGTTTTACTCTTGGCCTGACCAAGAAAGGTAAAGATAAATTGTAGCCAACTGCCTCGTTTAGCAAAAAATAAATATATTAACCCCAATTGGAAAAAAGACTCATTCAAACCTACTCAGTCAGTGGCCACTGGCCGATCTAGACCTTTAAAAACTCCCCATCCATCTCCCGCACCTCTCCACGACTACCTGTTGCCATGGTGATAAGGACGGGCTCCTGTTGAGGCTCCGGCTGTGGTCGCAGCAGGCTAGAGAGGCTGAAGACGGTGCTGGACACACTGACCAGCAGCCAATCCCCATCCAGGGCCCGTGGGCAGCTCCGCTGCGAGATCAAATGTCTAGCCCAATTCGCCGAAGCGGGGAACGGGATGAAGCGGCTCATCTCGCAGTGTGGCGCGGGGGTGCCGGAGGGGTACCGCCTGAAGGCAGCCAGGAGCATTCCCGCTGGGTCTGCGGGACCGAAAGAGTACAACTGTAGCCCGGCTGGAAACGTGCTGACCATACACAGACTGGAATGCACATACTAACAAAGTACTGAGAGACTTAGGGAGAACCCAGACATATTTACAAAGGGGGAAACTGGGGCCCAGGGCCCTACGTGAGCTAAAGAGGCCATAGATGCAAGTGAGTTCCGAAGACTCACCATCCACCTTGAAGTATAGCTTAGGGTCAAGATCTGGTCGGGGCGGTGGACCCATGGGTCCCTGGCGCAGCAGCAACGAGGCAGGTTTCTTGTTCAGGCTACCCCGACCTGCATCTTCCACGAACCAGCACTCAATCGCTGCTGGTCCAGCCGAGACGGCGGTCACCAGGCCTGGGGGAAAGGGGCTCCAGTGACCAGGATGTTCAGTGACCTGCCCCGCCCCTTCAGGAGGGAGTTGGAACTCCTCTCCTTCCCAGTGCGCCTTTTCCTAAACAAGAAGAAATGGGGTTCGCTCACCCAAAGCCACAGCGACGAGCAGGGGCAGAGGCTTCATGGCGCTGCGATCTCCTCTACTCTGTCTCGGCTTCCCCCTTTCACTTTCATTTTCCTCCAAAAGCCAGCGAGAGGGACCGGAAATTCCCGCTCAGTCAGGTGTGAAGGCTTGGCCGCCCGCTGCAGGCACGCAGCCCACAGGGCCAAACGAGATCATGACACCCTGCCTCCAGTTCTGCCCCTCGGCGCCCTGCACACCCTCCTGGATCACCCAGCAGCGCCAACTTTTGAATCCTTTAGCAACCTAGGCTCCGCCCTCCGGCTGCGTCCTCTCAATGCCACCGCCTTTAGAAGCTTTTACTCCCGCGTTTTCCGACCTCCCCGACCAGTGCCAGGCCCCAGCAAACACAGAGGGGCTATCGGGAAGCCAAGTGAAGTGACCAATAAATATTTTAATCACCATTAAAAGTTAAAATCTATACTACGCGACTCATTCCTTGTCTCCACCCACTTTCACGAAAACCCAATTGGGAATCTCCCTGGGAAGAGTGGGTTGGTACAGAAATAAGGGGCGCATCCTTCAGGAGGGGAAAGGATAAGACTCGAAAGGCCTCGTCCCACAACACAAACACAGACCAGGCACAAACCAGCACAACCTGACCGTTGACCCTGTGATTTCGGGATGCTCAAAATGCCCCCTTTCCACTCCTCATCGTGTGGGCCCTATTCTGTAAAGGTGGTGTGCCCAAGAGAGGAGAAAAAAGGCTTACTTTCGGAGATACCGAGGGAAGAAGGGGCTGAGGAGTGGAACCTACTGGCGATGGTGCAACCTGGGCCCTCTCCAGAATATATACAAGTCCACAGAGATAAGGGAAAACAGTGTAGTGGGAAAAACTCTGGGGTCCACGTTGCCCTTAGACTAAGCGCCTCATTGCCTACCCTTCAGTGTGCTCCTCCGCCCCCACTGAAATCCATCTCCACCTTGTGCACGGTGGGTGGGGACCAGACACGCCTATGGGATGGGGGTGTGGCCGAATTCGCCTCATCGCCACTGCCCCCACCCACTCCGGAAGACTCCCTCTTAGGTTGCAAGGCAGGTCCAGTAGGAGCCCCGAGTCCCGGTCCTGATGCGGCCCCGCCCCCGCCCATCCGGTGCCGGCGCTCACAGTGTCCCCGGTGCCGCATGAAGCTGTCCCGCCACATGAACTTCTTGGCGCAGACGCTGCACTCATAGGGCTTGAGGCCTGTGTGTGTCTTCATGTGCTCAGTCAGGTGGTGCTTCATCTTGAACTTCTTGTTGCACACCGGGCAGTCGAAAGGTCGCAGGTTGAGATGCATGTTCACATGCCGGTCCCGCATACTCTTATGCGAGAAAGCCTTCCCACAGTGGCACAAAAAGATCTTATTCCCGTCGCTACTGCCCGTCCCTCCAGGGGCCCCACCAGAGCCACTTGGTATGCCTAGACCCACGGCAGAGGTGCCCCCCAGGGTCACTGCCCCGTGTTCTGCTGGGTTCCCCGGTGGCTGGCTTGGAGCCTGTGAGGAAGAGGATGGGAATACCAAGATCTGGTTGCCTGACACATCCAAAGGAAGGAGGGGTCGTGGAGGGTGGGTGGAGGTATAGGAGGAGGGGGTGGGTCCTCCTGAGTCATCAAGCCCTGCTCCGGCCCCCCCACCCTCATAGGGGCCGAAGTCATTGGAGGACTCACAGAAGTTGACCTGTTCCTCCCCTTTGACTGGAGGCTCGGTCAAGGTCCGCACATCACTGATACTGAGCGTAGCTTCAGGCTCTGCCCCTGCAGGAACCCTGGAGCCACCCCCCAGTTCTTCGTCCTCATCATCCTCACAAGTCAACACTAGATCTTCCTCTTCCTCCTCATCCTCTAGATCTGGATCTTGGTGAACCAGAGAGGCTGGCGCAGGGCAATTTCTACCTCGTTTCACATATACCCAATGTTTCTGTGGCACTGAGCCGACAGGCATGCAGGGAGGCCTCCGGAGCCCAGCGCCGGGTACCACGGTCCCCCTCCCGTCCCCACCATCATCACACAGCTCGTCTGCCTCCAGCAGCAACTTTCCAGAAGTGGCACCCGCGCTGCCAACTACAGGGCCTGGGAACCCAGGGCCACCATCTCGACGGTTCCCACAACCGACTGCTGACGCTACAAAGGTGTCTTGGGAGGAAGAGGAGAACTCGGCGGACTCCCGGGGGCTGAAGTAGTTGCTACTGCTAGGAGACTGATTCTCACTGGCCCGGCTGGAAGCATGGGAGCGGACGGAGCCCATGGTGGCCGGGGCTCCAGCACCCCCACTCCCTGACGGGACACTGGCACCAGGAACGGAGACAGAAGGGGCTGCGGCAGTGGCGACTGTGGTGGTAGTGGCTGAGGAGCGACCCTCCCGAAGGAGCTCCGTGCACTTGTCCACGATGTGCCACATCTGGAGGACCGAGCCCACCGTGAGGAAGTTGACGATGTCAGCAGCGGCCATGCTGAGGCGGCCTGTGTACGCCGAGGCCAGGACCGTTTCAAACGCACCCGGGTCCATGACGCTGGGCAGCGAGATGGAGGTCATGCCTTTGAGTAAGACCTGGTCGTGGAAGTAAGGAGAGGAGGCGGCCAGGACAGCCCGGTGTGCGCGAAACTCCCGGCCTTGCACTCGGATGGACACATCGCACAGCTGCCCCTGGAGCCGCTGCTGGTTGAGGGACTCCAGGAGGGCACTGGTCACTTCAGGGAAGGACACGTGCACCACTGCAGCTGCGGGCAGAGGCAGCGGCGGCGGAGCCAGCGAGAGAGGCAGCGGGAGAGCCGCCCCACTGGGTGACAGAGGAGATGGCTCCATGTTGCGGGAGGAGGAGATACCCCCCCAGCCACAGGAACAAAGGAAAGAAGAGGGCGGCCGGGGGGGTCTCTGGGGGGGAAAAGAGAAGAATGATAGGATTTTGAAAAGTCAAAGCCCGTCACAGCATAAAAACATTGTGTCAGCCTTAGTAATCCCCCGTAACACTGGGGTAGGTGTACCTTTCAACCCCATGGGACAGATGAGGCAACTGAGGCTCAGAAGGATTAAGTCAGTCATCCAAGTGCAGCCATCAAACGACATCAAACCGCAGCGCTAGCAAAAGAAAAGTATCCCAACTCGTTAGTGCGCATTCCTAGGTTAGGAGACCCGGGGCTCTCGGGGAATGGCTGTCCACCCTACCCACGGCCGCCTCTCTTCCAAACGCGCACCTCCTTGGCATTCTGTACCTACTTCTTGGGGCGAAGGGGTGTCCCCCTCAACTCTCGGGCCCCTCCCCCTGCCGCCCCCAGCTACTGCCGGGCTCCGCCTCCTGGGTCCCCGACCCCGCCTCGTGTCTGCCCCCGCCCCCAGAACCCCGCCCCCCCACTCCGCCCCAAAGGCGCCCTGGACGATTCCCCGACCCGAGGGGGCCCCCCAG